ATAAGCGCATACTGATCTTTGATTAAATTCAGGTAGAAATTTAATTGCGTTTGAATGGTTTGTACAATTAATTTTACAAAATTCGAGTTGGTTGATCGCATGTGTCGCATTTGTAATCGTCAGAGCCGATCGGAAGTAAAGCCCCGGCTCTCACGAACGAGTTAAGAGGGGGATGGCTGAAGAAGAGAGCAGGCTCCGATGCCGTATTGTCGTGTCCAGCGCAGGGATATCCTGTACCCTCCTTTAGGTAAAATTACACCATTTAACGAACACGTGTTGCGTGCCGTTTTTTTTTCTGATTTTGCGGTGGCTTTTGTTCCGCCAGAACCGGTCGGCAGCAAAGCGCCGGCATTGACGGGCGACTTGAAGGGTGGATGGAAGGAGAGAATGGCGGGCTTTACAGTTATATTGTTCTGCCCAGCTCAGGGACACCCTGTGCCCAGCTTTAGGTAATCTTTTTTTACGCAAGAATGGACATGCGATTTTCTTAGGGTGTAAAAGCTTCGACAGAAAATATTTTACAAGCTGCTTACAAACAGCCAATAATAGTTCGTTCTACAATGCGGAAAATAAGCCTCTTTCTTTCTTTCTTTTTTGATGTATTCCGACAATAATTTACTAAAATTTAAATAGCGTATAAATTATATCCCGCACGATAATCTCTGCTTTCAATTTCGTTCGTTTTCCGAATCGTTAGAACCGATCGGAAGTAAAGCACCGGCGCTGATCGGCGAAATGAAACGCGGATGGAAAGAGATGATCATGAGATCCAGTGTTGTGCTGACGTGCCCGGCTCAGGGTTATCCTGTGCCCAGTTTTAGGTAACGTTATTTTAACGCGACTTTTTCTCGGACAATTAAAATACATTGTACATTAATAGAACCGGTCGGAACTAAAGCACCCTCGATTTTGGGGGAGGAGGGCAACATGATGAAAAGACGCATCGGCACGCACATCGTAATTCTCTGCCAAGGGCAAGCTTACCCTGTGCCAATGTTCAGGTAAATTAAATACGAGCAGATGATCGCGATTTTATTTTATGAACAATAATGTTTATTTCGAGAATACACATCTGTGACATTTTTTGCGTAAAGAGCCGGTAGGTAGTAAGGCGCCTTCCGTCACGGGTGACGCGAAACGATGGCTGCAAACTAAATCGACAACTGGATTTGCAATGCAGTGCCAAGCGCAGAGTCACCCGGTACCAGCGTTCAGGTAGTTAGAGTGTGATTGCACTCTTTATCGATCGCCAATTTGTGTGTTATTAAATGAGAATTGAGTTACGATGCTAGATGATAGAGCAGTTAAAAGACTATTGAGACTCGTTTTGTTTCTATTTCGAGAGTTTGATTTTCGAGTAAATTCGAAACGCGATTTTTTCGGTGTAGTAGTTTGTATTTTAATGCAAGAATTTTACGATTCTTGTATTGCCAGAACCAGTGGGAGCGAAGGGACCAAAATTCTCGAGTGACGATCGCGTTAACTCGTTTATACGCGCGGCAGAAAGCGCATCGAGCCTGCATTGTCCTGCGCAGGGGTTCCCCGTACCGTCGTTCAGGTAATTGAGAAAATAAAGAATTCTCGGATAATTTAGACGCGTGCTTCTCGTTTCACTTTAGAGCCCGTGGGATCGAAGGCGCCCGCCTTTCAGAGCGACGCGAAAAGCAGCACTTACATAAGAAACGCGAAATCATCGCTCGCGCTAACTTGTGCCGCTCAGGCATCGCCACCTCCGGCTCACAGGTAACATGTTAATGAGTTGAGCATAAATTGTGTAATTTAAAGTTTATTCGATAGAAAGTATTGCTAACTGAAAGTCTTACACTACGCATATTTCATGTTTCTACAGTGGTCAATAATTGACATATTGCTTTCATATCTCATTTATTGTGTTTGTAAATTTTTCAAATTTTCCACTATTAATAAATTAGTCGATAAAATATAATACGGCGGTGGCGCGTGCTATCCTGATGTCCGAATTACCGTAAGATAATTAACAAACTTTGTTCGCAAACGTTAGAGCCAGCAGGTCGTGTATCTCCAAAATTTCCGAAATCGGCAAAATCTGATTCCTTCGAGGTTGCGAACGGTGCCATAATAAGTTTGTTGTGCGATGCACAGGCATTTCCAGCTCCCGCATTTAGGTCAGTTCACATAAACATATACATTTTACGTAGCTTTTATTCTTAATTTATTCTTACTAAAATATTTAATACAAAATGTAATACGGCGGTGGCGTGTTCCTGATGCAAATGTGTTATTTTAAGAGGAATAATAAACTTCGTTTGCGCGTTAGAGCCAGCAGGTCGTGTGTCTCCGAAATTCCCGAAATCAGCAAAAATCGATTCCTTCGAGGTGGCAAGTGATGCCGTAATAAGTTTATTATGCGATGCACAGGCATTCCCTGCTCCTGCATTTAGGTCAGTCCATCAACATATTATAAAAATAGATTAATAGGTTAATAGATTATTAAAATAGATTTTGCTAAATATATTTGGCGCGCAGTTCGTATTTCTACTTTTATTTTATCAGACGTTTAATGAAAAATATAAGACGGTGGCGCGTTCCATCT